AAAACACAACAAGAAAGAAAAGCTTGTAGTTAGTTCAAGGATCATTGGCCTTTAAGAGTGTTTTCCAGTCCAGTCTGTTGGGGCACCACGCCCTGGCCCCAAAGTCCACCTTCAGCATTCCCTGGGGACCTTGTTGCTCCATTCCCTTGCTGTTCCGCTGCACTCCCCCAGTAGCACTGACTATTCTTAAAGACCAAAGACCCAAACCAAACCCACTGTCACCGACTTGATTCTGATTCCTGGCGATTCTGTCGTGCAGTGTACAGCTGCCTCATAGGAGTTCCAAGGCTCTAAGTATTGATAGAGGTGGACGAACACATCCTTCTCTTACAGAGTGGCCGATGGTTGGCAGCTAAAGCTTTACCACCAGGGCTCCTTGTCAATGACCACATCTTGGAAATAACTGCTAAATACCGTATATACTAGAGTATAAGCTGACCCGAATATCAGCCGAGGGACCCAATTTTACCACAAAAACTGCATTAAAAATGTGCTGGAAAACTCGGCTTCTACATGAGTACATATGGTAACAGTAAAGAGAACTATGGTGCAGCTACTCCAAAAATAAAAATTAAAAAGCCAACAGTTAGAAGTCCTGTGCAGTGCAATGGATTGCTTTTACATATTTTCATAGCTACAGTCTTGTAACTTCCAAGAAAAGATTAAGTGGGACTATGCAAATAAGGTACTTGTGGTTCACCAAAGGGATTGCATAGCTTGTAAACAATGCGAATAAGGACGCATGGCACCTTGTGTGGGCAAGGCCACACAAATAAGGCATGTGGAACCTGAATGAGGACCAGTGGTCAGTTTTGCCATCCTGTTAGGGTTAGAAGGAGCATTCCCAGAAGTGGAGAAGAAGGCATCTTACTACCACCGAGAAGAAGAGCCAGGAGTGGAGTATGTCCTTTAGACCCGAGGTCCTTGTGCAGAAAACCTCCTAGACCCAAAAGACAGAGAGGGAATGTAACCTAGAAGACAGAGAAAGACAGCAGTGCAGTGATAGCAATGTGAGAGGGCAGGAGACTGGGTGGGCTGGCATGGCGCTGCTTCCTGACCAGCGGAGCAAGGCAGTGACCGTGGGTGTGCCGATCTACAGAGTGAGAGACCTGAGTGCTTTGGGGCTGATGCTTATTGAAGGAGCGGGGTACCATCAGACACTTACTGGCAGAGTTAAAGAGCTTTGTTAACACTTGCCCAAGCAGTGCAGGGGTGGAAGAACTGAGGGGCTAAAAGTCCACCAAGCCCCAAGGACAGTATTCCGGCTCAGAGCAGTCAATGCGGAGAGAGGACCATAGGGCCAGCCCTACCACGAGACACAACATCCCTCACTGACCCATAGCTCTACGGGGGATAGCACTGGAGACACAGTGCGGGAGTTGTGCCCCATCTCACTCCACCACACCAGGACGAAACACTAAGGTGTGCAGCGGAGCAGCAGGGAGAGCAAAGCAGCTAAGTCCCCAAGGAATACAAAATATAGACTTTGGGGTCAGGGTATGGCACCCCATCAGACTCAACTGGAAAACACTCATAAAGGTCAATAGACAGACCTGGAACTATTAACAGGATTTTCTTTTTTTGCTGGTTTTTGTTGTTGTTTTCTTTTGTTATGTTCCACTTTACTTTGTTTTGTGCTTATTATTATCTATGAATGTTTCTAATAACCTAGCATTTCGTGCTGCTCACCTTCCCTACATGATCACTGAAGACAAATGGGTGCATAAGCAAATGTGATGAAGAAAGCTGATGATGGTGCCGGTCTATCAAAAGATACAGTGTCTGGGGTCTTAAAGGCTTGAAGATAAACAAGCTGTCATCTAGCTGAGAAGCAACAAAGCCCACATGGAAGAAGCACACCAGCCTGTGTGATCAGGAGGTGCCAAAGGGATCAGTTATAAGGCATCACAGAACCAAAAACCATATCATTGTGTGTTCACCTTCCTGATATGATCACTGAACACAAATGGGTGCATAAGCAAATGTGGTGAAGAAAGCTGATGGTGGCCGGCTATCAAAAGGTATAGGGTCTGGGGTGTTAAAGGCTTTAAGATAAGCCACCATCTAGCTGAGAAGCAACAAAGCCCACATGGAAGAAGCACACCAGCCTGTGTGATCA